CCTGTTGTCTGTCGTCAACAAGTAATACGCAACTTCGTCGTTGCACAGTGAACTGAACACGACGTCAGCAAACTTACTCGTCCGGTATCCACCGAATGCACACAAGTATGAGATCTTGCGAAATGGTTGTCATGTAGCAGGCCACTTACTGCCTACGGCCTATAGACACCATCTGCCCGTGCGCTTGTGAAGGCGCTGAGGTCGTGATGGACGACCATTTGGCTACATACGGGCCCGGCAGCCAAACGCGCGGAGTTCCAGCAATCCATTACCACATCGAGCTTTTGCCTTAAAACAACCATTGAAAACTTCAGTTCATTTAAATTACGCATATCCTGAAGGTTGCAGTAGATTTTTAATCGGGTGCATGGTTTAAATGAGGCACTGTTCTTGCGAAAAGCTGGATGACGAATTTGCATCGTCCGGTCAATTATATCGACACTTACACCAGACCTGGCCAAAGAAAATAACTCTTCAGTCAGCGGTCTGCAAGACAGCTGTATTTCTGACGGCTAATAATGGGCGCAATATGCTCATTCTGCAAATGGTTCACTGACGAAAGGTTGCACAATTCTACTTAATTCGTCAAAATTCTCGTCTGATATTTTAATGACTTGACGTCACATTGATAACTAAATAAATTGCTACTTCATCACTTAGAATATGCCCGGAAGGGAGGTGCAACTGCTCAGATAAAATCTTTGCCTGTCTTAAATAAATAAATAAATAAATAAATTTTTATTTAATGCCGGTTTACAGGCATTGTCAAGGGAAGCGATTAAACACAAATCCGACCAGCAGTGAAAAAAACTCCTGAGCTTAAGTCATAAAAATATAGTTGATGGTGGTTTTTGTGGTTTGGAGGGCTCAGGAGAAAAAACTGTCGGCGGTGGTAGAATATCGACCGTCAAGAAGGGGGGAGGTTGCACGGTATCGGAGATTATCGGACATCAAATTCCTTTCATGAAGTTGGGGATAGTCAAACTAGAGGCGTTGAGGAATAGCTGGTGAGACCGGCCATAGTGTTTAGAGACCACAAACGCCATCGCTACGGTACAGTCGATCAGTAGATTCAGCACCCAAAATTTGTGGGAGCTTTTCTGAATGCAAAAATCGAGTAATAGTTCTCTTAAATAAAGGAAACTTTTGCAGAGTTTTCACACTCATGGGTAGTTTATTCCAAATAGCAATTGCATTTACAGAAAAGAACCGACGATATTTAACAGTATGTGCCAGAGGAAGAAATAAAAATACCTCACGGTGGCTGTTACGCCGTGAGTGGACATGGTGTCTTAAAGAGGTGAGTGGGTTAAATGTGTGATTATATAAGAGTTTAAATAGCAAAAATAGTCCCTTTTGTAATCTACGGAATCATAAAGGATTGAGGCCTGAAAGCCGGCAACGTTCTTGGTAAGACAAATGTCGGTGTTCCGGGGTTAAAATTCTCTTGGTAAAAAAGTGTTGAACAGATTCTATTTTCTTCGGCTCAGTAGCGCGCATGAGGCTAAATGAAAACGAACAGTATTCCAGACCAGGTCTAACGTACATGTTAAAAAGGCGCATTCTAATGTCCCTAGTTCTAAAATTTCGGAGGATAAACCCGGTCGTTCTGCGTGCTTTGTAGACTATCAAGGCACAGTGCTCCGAGAGATTGAGACTCTTGGAGTATGATACGCCCAGATCCTTAATAACACCAGGCACATTCATGGCGTGACCTTCAATACTTAGTTGAGGTTGGCGGTCGTCGCCAACCACCATGACTGAGCACTTATGCCAAGAAAGAGAAAGGCGCCATGTGCGGCACCACTGGGCGAAAGCCTGTAGATCGCTCTTTAGGAGCTCAAGCACGATGTCATGATCTGCCGACTTATATCGATATGCAACTTTAAGATCATCGGCATACATGAAAGGCTTACCATTTTGAAATAAATCGGGTACATCATTAACGAAAAGGCAAAATAAAAGCGGGCCGAGTACACTACCCTGAATGACTCCACTCCTCACACGTGTGGGGTTGGAGATGGTATTGGAAATCTTAACTCGTTGTGTGCGAGTGCCCAAATAAGAGGATATAAAATTCAAAAGTTTGCCACCTATTCCGAAAGAGGACAATTTCAAGAGGAGAAGAGCATGGTCAACACGGTCAAAATCCTTAGTGAAATCGAAATATACTGTACAAAGAGCAAAACCATGGTCCCTAGATTGGAGAACATAGTCAAAGAAAGAGAGTTGACAGGTGTCACAAGATCGAGCTTTAAGGAATCCATGCTGAGCAACACTCAATAGGTTATTCACTGTTAAGTGACACATCATTTTGTCTTTGATCAATGTCTCTAAGATCTTCGAAACTGCAGGGAGGGTGTTTATTGGCCGAAATTCATCAAATGATGTAGATTTGCCGTGCTTAGGAATGGGCAAGATGTGTGATTCCTTCCACAAGGTAGGATAAGTTTCACTTTCAAGAGCAAGATTAAATATCTTGCATAAGAGGGATGGGAAGATTGTGTTTGCATCGGCTTTTAAAATGCTTACTGGGACACCATCAGGGCCTGGACTATAAGGTTGACGAAAACGCCGAATCGCAACAGTCACATCCCACACAGAGTGAAAGTTATAGTTTCTAGACCTGCCCCGGTCAATGGCTGAATGTTTGGAAGCGGAGTGGTCGAGTCTTCAATAAACGTTTTGGACAGGAAATCATTGAAGCTATCCGCGGTTAACTGGGCATCAACTATGGGATTTCCGAGATCGTCTCGAAGGATGGGATACTGCGTCTTTCTCTGAGTTCTTATTTTTCTAGAGAAAAGTTTCGAGACACTTAACGAATGGTTTTCAAAAAAGCACTCACCACTACCCATTTCCCTAATCGATGCCACAGTGTCAGCTACACCCAGCAGCGTTCTCGCGTCCGAGGACACGTCCTATGCGTCGGCTGTCAACTTCCGTCTCACGATTTTCAGAAGATCTACCATATTGGGTTACGGTATTTGTGAATGTGCTGTACGGGCTGCGCACTGCATCACGTACGTTCGGCTGCTCTTCTGTCAATTAGGCCCTTGGAGACCTCTCAGGCCGCGCTTTGGATGGAATAGCCATAAAATCTGATTAAGCATTAGTTTCGGGTGACGACTTGTAAGAGGAGTGGTCACCCATGACGAAAATGATGAGTCGGACGGCTACCTTTCCCTCATGTACACGGCAGTTAGGGGTAGAACTTTACTGACCTCTGGATCAGCACGTCTCCTATATGTTCTCTTCGACATAGGTTTCGACAAACTATAAAAGGACGTAAAACGGCAAATGTTGAAGGGTCAACAGAGGGAATGGCATCAGTGGAAAGAGTGTGTGCACGCAACAGTGTGGACAGGCATGAAGTGGCGTTCAAGAGTGCACGGGGAAAGGCAAACATGCCGTCCGATCGATTAGCCAGTCAAGGCGCGAGAATTCTTTTGTGACCTAACTGACACCAGTGCTAGTGTAGCGACCGTAGGCGTCCAGGATGGCACACACCGTGGTAACGAAGCACTGGGAAAGGATCGTGGCTACGACCGATATAAACAGAGTCGTTAAAATGTCTCACCACTCATCCCTACGCAATGGAAGAGGAGATGTTAGGTAGAGAATAAGGTATAATGGGTGGAGATGGGAACTAGGAATATATACCATTGTACATAATTGTACAAAGTAGATGAGATACAACGGAGTAACTCGTTTGTGCAGCGTATCCTGCCCGGGCCGTCAGGACATCATGCCACAAACGCGTGACAAGCGAACGATCAAGGTCATGGCCCCCTGTTCACACCGTCTTTGAGCTGATTGGCCACCCATCAGCCTATGACAGTCCCCCTTGCCATATACCCGCTCGTTTCCACAAGCCTCCCCACTTGTGCTGTCCTATTTCCAATTAGCCTTCTGTTTTGCATACATAACATTGGCGACGCAGCCTAACGAACATGTCTTCATTGCTGCCTACACCGCTACCTTTTTGGCCAAAGAAAACCCCGAAGCCCTCAAATGACTCGTGGTTGCAATGGAGGAAGACATTTGAGGATTATATTGAACTACTCCCGATTTTGTCACCCACGATTGTACTAGACGTCCCTTTCACTCGGAAACTGTTCTCTCAAGCTTCGTCCAGTATTTCTTATACTCAGAGATGTCAGTTGGCGAACATGAAGTTTTTGTGGGTTAGAAGACTCGAAGCTGGCCTTTGCTTCCTTTTTCGCATCAACTCTAGCTCCAGTCTTCCGCGCATTGACACTCTCACTCCGAGAGATCGGTCTTATGCCACGCGCAACTCCTGCATGGTGATTCCG